ACTTAAGACCCTGAAGGAGCGCCCAGTGACCTACTTCCTGTTCCCTCCAGCCAGGTGCCTTCTCCCAAAGTTCATGATCCTCTGCAAATAACACAGTCAGCCAAGGGCCAAGTGTCCCTTGGGAGGCATTGCAGATTCATACAAGCTCCCCACATGTTCCAAAGTCAATGATGAAGGTTCCAGACAGCGAGGGGACGTGCCCAAGACTCTGTGAAGGAGGGAGGTGGGGCCTCTTCTGTTGAAGCTGTGCCCTATCCTCAAGTCGCGCTTGGGGGAAGTGGCCTCCGTGTTAGGTGCCAGCACAGCCGTGCCCACTGTGATCCCAGCACTCGGGAGGCAGAGGCAGGCGGACCTCTGTGAGTTTGAGGTCAGCCTGGTCTACAGAGCGAGTTCCAGGACAGCCTCCAAAACAATACAGAGAAACCCTGTCTCAAAAAAAAGGGGGGGGGCTAGGTGACTGGGGATGACTGAGCAGTAAGAAGCGTTTGCTGCCCTTGTAGAGGACCTGAGTTCAGGTGTCAGCACTCGCATTAGGCAGCTCACAGCTGCCACAGCTCCAACTCCAGGGAACCTGATGTCCTCTCTGGCCTCCCCCTCCACACACGTGCATAACCCCCTCCATACAATTTAAAAAATAATAAGAATAGAAAAGTTACATGTTACGGTATCCGGCCAGGGAGACGGCTCCATGAGTAAGAGTCTTGTTGTGTGAGCATGAAGACACATCCCCAGAACCCAGGCAAAAAGCTGGCCGTAGTCGCACATGCCCGTAACTCCAGTAATGTGCTGGGGTGGAGACAGGGGGATTGCTGGCCACCAGCCTAGCTCCAGGTTCAGGGAGAGACCGTGTCTCAGGGGAATAAGGGATTTGCAGAGTGATAGGCTACATCTGGCGTCCTCCTTCGGCTTCTGTGTCTTCACGCACAGCCACCTGCTTGTGTACACGACATACGGCGTGCACCCTTCTCTTTCTAGAACCCACGAGCACACACAGCCAGAGAAGGAGCGAATCCAGGGCACAAAACCCAAGCAAAACTGTGAAGACGCCAGGTCTTGGGTGCTGGACCCTGACCGTTTCCTGCAAACCCTTCCTTTAATCCTCACAAAATCCCATGGCGTGGGAGAAGAGGCAGGCAAGGGGGCAGGCTCAAGTAACTTATGCCTGATTACTGAGGTATAGGGACATAAAAGTAGATTGTCCAGAATCATATGGCCTGTGAAGGACACACCCCCAGCTCCTCCCTGGAGGATTCTAGGCAGGGGCTCTACCACTGAGCCACACTCCAGCCCCTCACTGGGGGATTCTAGGCAGGGGCTCTACCACTGAGCCACACCCCCAGCTCCTCCCTGGAGGATTCTAGGCAGGGGGCTCTACCACTGAGCCACACCCCCAGTCTCTCATTGGGTGTTTTTAGGCAAGGGCTCCACCACTGAATCACTCTCCTAGTCCCTTCATTCCATGTATTCTGCTTCTGAGGTACACCCCACTTCTTCCTCCCTCCCTCCCTCCCTCCCTCCCTCCCTTCTTCCTTCTTTAAAAAAGTTTGTATCTTGAAGGAGTCTCACAAAGTTACCGAGGCTGGTCTTGAACATGTCATGTGATCTTCCTCCCTCGGGCCTCACAAGTAGGTGGACGAGATGAAGTTTCCTTTCTTCATATACACTCAGAAAAGACTTCAAGTTTTTACTGCATCCAGTTTCTTCGGTGTGGAAGTCTCTCCTGAAGGATGTGTGTTAATAGCTCACTCCCCAGGCTGCAGTGCCCTTAGGAGGCTGACGAGACCTAGCGAAAGGCAGTCATGGTGGAGGTGTGCCCTTGAGGAGGTTCTGGGCACGCTCTGACCTCTCCCTCCCCGTCTTGCTTTCTGGATGCACGAGATCTGACGTGTGTTCACACTCCAGGCAACCATGAATCTCTGCACCCACCAGTCACACACTTTTCTTCTTTGCAAGGGGATCATCCCAGGTATTTTATCACAGCAACAGGAAGCTAGCACGCAGGTGACATCCTGATTACTTTATCAGGATTATCTGAACGCTAATGACAACAACCACCATACAAGCCATGTATGAAGTAAATCAAGGTTAAGGGTCACATGGCTGGGAAACGGCAGAGCTGAGAGTGTAGCCACACCATTCAGAAGTGAGGCCTGAGTCATCTGGCTGCATTTCAATTAGGTATACAACTGTCCCAACACAAAGGTTTCCCATGCTGGTTTTAGCTGCACAGACCTGAGGGAGGAGAGGAGCGCCACCTTGTGTCGGGAGATGGAATCTCAGCGCCACTGCTCAGTTTCCCTAACCTACTGAGCCGGCCTTGTCATCAGGGTATCTTGGAAGTAGTGGCTTGAGTTGGCAGGCCCTGGGCTTGCACAAACAAACAAACAAACAAGCAAGCAAACAACAGGCATGGCGTGGTAAGGATAAATTAGACATACATTTTATTCCCAACACTCAGCATTTAACTCGAAAATCTTTATTCACGTGTGCATTAGGGATCTTCTGGAGTTACAAACGGTGGCACCCTGCTTGACACCCAACTCTGGTCCTCTGCAAGAGGAGTAAGCACTCTGGGCCATCTCTTCAGCCACTCTCAGTCTTTAAAGTTCAGGCATAAGCAAACGTTTATTTGGACAGCCCTCTAAATTCTTATCTCTACACCCGTAAGGTAGTACAGCTCTCCTTGTCTAAGTTTCCCCTTCTAAAATAAGGTTTTATCTTAATTACAAGTATGCATGTGAGCTCAGGGGCCCTTGAAAGTCAGAAGTCGTTTGATCTCCTGGAGCTTTCGGACCCCTAGCACCAGGGGACTGTGAGCTGTCCTGTTTGTGCTAGAAACTGAACTCGGGTTCTCTGGGGGGGGGGGAGCTGACAACTGCCCCTCCCCCTACAAAGTTCCTTTGTGCAGTGGACTGTGTTAGCGCCTCGTTAGGGTTTCTGTTGCTTCCATGAAACCCCGTGGTCTAGGGCAAGTTGGAGAGGAAAGGGTTTATCTGGCTTACACTCCCACATCATAGTCCACCACTGACGGAAGCCAGGGCAGGAGTTCACACGGCGCAGGGTCCTGGAGGCGGGAGCTGATGCAGAGGCCATGGAGGGGGCTGCTGACTGGTCTGCTCCCATGGCTTGCCCAGTCTGCTCTCCTATGGAACCCAGGACCACCGGGCTAGGGATAGCATTACCCACAATGGGCTGGGCTGGGTTGGGCAGGCCCTCCCTTGTCAAAGATTAAGTAAATGCCTCACAGGCTTGTATATAGCCCAATTATATGACAGCGTTTTTGTTTTTTGGTTTTTTTGGTTTTTTTTCGAGACAGGGTTTCTCTGTGGCTTTGGAGGCTGTCCTGGAACTCCCTTGGTAGTCCAGGCTGGTCTCAAACTCACAGAGATCTGCCCGCCTCTGCCTCCCAAGTCCTGGGATTAAAGGCGTGCGCCACCAGCCACCAATGCCCGGTGACAGCGTTTTCTTAATGGAGGTTCCCTTGCGTCAAGTTGACAAACAACTAGCCAGCACATTAACACAGAATGCTCCAAAGTGGCCAATGCGTCAGTGGCTGCTCTGTCACAAATGGGCCATCTGTGTCCTGTTCCTATCCTCAAGGCGCAGGGACCACTGTTGGGGAGGAGGGTGGACTGTAAGATTGTAAGACCCAGAGGCCGGGGAGGACCAGAGAGAAACTGTCTTGTGGACAGGACAGGACCGCTGCAGTCAGGATCTCCCAGCAGCTTTGGGTGCCCGCACAGGATCAGGCTGGCTGACTCGGCAGCATGGAGCAGGGAGGGGTTCACAAGCCCCCAGCTTTTAGTTGAAATGACTTCTAGGGGAGGGAGTCAGTTTTCTCTAAGGGTGTGGCCTCACACACGAGCATAGGGGCAGTGAAAAATGGAAGCCTCTCGTTATCTAAACAACAACAAACCAGGACATGACGTCGGGAAGGGGCAGGGAGGTGGGGATGGATCTGGAAAGGAGTTAGGGAGAGAAGATGGGCAAGAGAATATATGCATGTATGAAATCCTCAAGGAATTAATAAAAATATTGTATTAAAAATCTAACTCAGGAGGCAGAAGCAGGTGGATCTCTGTGAAATTGAGGTCAGCTTGCTGGGGCTACACAGAGAAACTCTGTTTTGAAAAACAAAAACAATGACAACAAAAAAGATTGGGCTGGGAATCGTACAGAGAAAAGAAAAAAAAATCAAGACTCTTGGTCGAATACCTATGTTTATGTCCTGGCTCTGTCCAAAGGGCCTGTCTCTCTCTCTCTCTCTCTCTCTCTCTCTCTCTCTCTCTCTCTCTCTCTCTCTCTCTCTCTCTCTCTCTCTCTCTCTCTCTCTCTCTCTCTCCTCTCATGTGTGTGTATGTGTGTGTACGCACGTACGTACATACATACATACATACATACATTGATATATGGTCTCACTGTGTAGTCCTGGTTGTCCTGAAGCTCACTCTGTAGACCAGGCTGGCCTGGAACACCCAGAGATGTGCCTGTCTCTGCCTCTGGATTGCTGAGATTAAAGGTGTGCGCCACCACCATGCAGCTGCTTTCTGAGCAGGGGCTTGCCATGTTGAGCAGGTGCACCTGATATTCCCTGAGTACCGGGACTACAGCCGCGTACCATCTCTGCCTACAGCTGTGAATGGGAGAGATTGAAATTTATGCAAACCGTTCCCTTACCCGGAGGACGCGTTAGGGACAACACATTAGCAGTCCTTCTTCAGCTCAAATTTATGCAAACTGTTCCCTTACCCGGAGGACGTGTTAGGGACAACACATTAGCAGTCCTTCTTCAGCACGGAAACCCCTCTGCATGGCTTGAAGCACACACGAATCACCACTTCGGGTAGGTGAAAGGGCTCCCTGGCTACAAGTGTGGCCACCAAGCCGGATGACCTGAGTTCTAGTCCCTGGGGCCCACATGGTGGAAGGAGAAAGCTCACTTCTGAAAGTTGTCCTTGGGCTCCCATTCCCCAGCCTCTCCCCTCGCCACACACCAGATCTAACAACAAAGCACTAAGTTTATTCTTTGTGTCAAATACACATCCCGTTTCTCTGCCCCTCAAGCCCACCCCATTCTTCTTCAAATTGGAGGTCAGCAGCCAGACTCCGACAGTGCCCTCTCAGGGGAAGTGGGTGAGGGCCACCAGCACAGCGGGCAGCAGGAGCTCCAGCACCCACAGTGAGGTGGACCTCCAGGAGGCCCGACTTTCTTCTGCCTTCCTGGGCTGAAGGAGCGAGTGGTAGCTGCAAGTCTCCTTTACTGTCATGGGCCCCACTGAGGTAATTGCCGCCATGAGTCTGCAGCCAATCGCAGTGGTGCAGCCTTTAATATGCAAAACGGAGTCCATTCCTCCTACGAGCCAGAGGGGATGGGGCGACAGAGACACAGGTTTAGGGAATGGTGAGCCCAGTCTTCCCTCACCTCTGGATCCCGGAGTGTCAGAACCTTGAGGGGCCTTTACCTCCGGAGAGCTCAATTTTTCCTTGATAGCACTGAGTTGTACTGTTGGCACAGGGCATTGACGGGGCACTGGAACACGACCCCAGAGCCACACATGTTGGGCAGCTGAGGGCTCCCAATATTTTGGAAGTTGCTGGATAGGGAAAAGGAGAGGGAAAGTTAAGGCTGTGTCCACCTCCTGTGTCCACGAGCCTGTCCTGGCTGCCTTCTCTCCCCACCTGTGTCCTGGAGACACCACACTAACCAACCCGCTACTGAGTCCCGCTTACCCTTCCCAGCTGGTTTTCTTTTCATCAGAACCTCAGCCACTGGGCTGTTGGGACGGTGCAGCAGGCACAGGCACTTACTGTGCAAGCCTGGAGACCTGGGTTCAATCCCCCACACCCGTACAAAGGCGAAGGAGGAAAACCAACTCTCTAAGCTGTCTTCTGACTTCACACATGTGCATGTTTGAACACACACACACACACACACACACACACACACACACACACGCTCACACAGACCCACACACACTAAAAGAAACCCGAGACCACATGACTTCCACACCCTGCCTACACTTGTGACAGGCTGGAAGAACAGCTCTAGCAGAAGGATTTGGGGGTGATCAGTGGTATCACAACTCAGTACTGCACTCAAGATAAGGGAAAGAAACGGAGAACACGAGCTATGTAAGATGCCTCAGGGAGCATCTCTGAGGAGCTGGGATCCAAACTGAGAAGGAAGCTGTTATGTGAGGATGGGTTTGACAGAGATGGGACAGGGTTGCTGTTCAGGTGGGAAGCACAGGCAGGGAGAACATGTATCACTGTTTTTTTTTTTAATGACTTGCAACATCTACATTAAGAAAAAAATCACTTTTTAAGCGTATGCAGTATGGGTGCATGGGCATTAGTGTGCGGAGGTCTGAGGACAACCTCAGGCGTCCTCAGGCACGCTCTTCACCTTCTCAGAATCAGGCTCTCCCACTGCCTTGGCGCCCACCAATTAGGCCAGCCCGGCTGGCCAGGAAACCCAAAGGGTCCTCCCATCTCCGTCCACGTCTGAGAGCTGGGATTGCAAGCTCATGGTGCCACGCCTGGCAGGTCTGGGGAAAGGAGCGCAGGTCCCCAGGCTTGCAGGGCAAGTGCTTTGCCTACTGACCCATCTCTAGTGTTCAAGTGTGACCGGGAGTCTAGGATACAACATGGGCACAAAAGAGGCGAGAGCCAGGCGGACGGCTGCAGGCCTGGAGGCCGAACTGGGGGACTGGACTGTTGGCGCCTGGCAGTAAGGAGCCCACACTCTTAAAGTGAATGCCACCATCTGCTCAGAAACCCATGGAGAGTCCTTAATGCTGGATGACCACAGCCCTAGTTGACTGTGCGGCCTTCCCTGATGTCCCTCTGCCGGGGGGGGGGGCTCAGAAAGGGGCCTGGAGACCCACTGAGGCCCCACGGCAAGCAGAAACATGAGAGAAGAGAGGCGTGCCCATCCCCCCCCCCCAGGTACCTGTGGTGTCTGGTGGTTTCCAGAACAGAGAGACGTTCTTGCTGTTGTTGCAGAGGGAGCTGTTGCAGTAGTTACTGTAGGAGATGGCGATCACGCCGGGAGGTGGCGTGTATTGGATGAAAGTCACTGCTTCTATCTCTCGAGAGGCACAGCCCTTACTGGCCACAACCGCAGTCTTGGTTCCCTCTGCGAGACAGGGAGCAGAGAAGGCGGATGGGGGGGGGGCCTGACGCTCAGCTGGGAGACAGCAGACAACATGGCTACCCTCTTCCTCAAGCCCAAGGGATCCCTCTGTCCCTGCCTGCCTCCCCAGCGCTGGCGGCGCGAATTCATTGCGGGCTCTGGGGATTCAGCTGAGATCCGTATGTATTCAAGGCAAGCGCCTCACTGACCAAGCTAACGGCCCAGCCCCCCTCCACACTGCTAATAGGGTCGCGATGTTGGTGACGAATGGAACTCTGTGTGCATGGCAGGGGGAAGCTAGAAACGAGGCTGAAGAGATGGGCTGGAGGCCTGGACACCAAACTTGCTGCCACCGGCAAGGAGGAGTCAGTGCCTGGACCGCCGCACTGGCCCGGCCTTACCTGCTTTAATCAACAGTACGGTTTCCTGGCAAAGCTCTCCAGGGTTGCACGTCTCAACCTTGTCAGGCTTTGAAGTCCAGTTAAAGGTTCGGCTTGGATCGTCTTCTAAACGCAGGACTTTGCTGACCGCACATTGTAGACTTTGGGCCACTGGGAAGATGAGGTAAAAACAAAACAAAAAAACAGAACAACAAAACCGAGAAACCAATCGCTCCTCTCTGTGGGGTGGCCTCTTCCCGCCAGAAACCCCCCTCTGCGGGATCGGCTGCTCCCCCTAGGTCCCACACGTACGAGTCTGGTGGGAGACTCCCAGCAGCAGGAGGAGTAAATAGTGGACCCAGCAGGCTGCCATGGCGTCTCAGACTGGGAAGAGCTGACCAGGACCTGGAACTGAAGAACAGGAGACAATTCAAGCAGACAGACGGGGACCAAATGCCAGCCTTCCCCAAGTGTCCACGTTATGGTAGATTTACGCCACGCAAGGCCATGAGGTGCCTGGTGTGTTACCAGCAAGGTCGCAGGTTCCTTGGGCCTAAGTTCCTCAGTTCTAGGACCCAGCCACCGACAGCCACCGACAAGGATTTGGCAGCTCTCTTTCTTCCTTCCAGGAGAGCAGCCCCGGGAGCCCTCTGCCTTAAGCCTCAAGAGGTCCAGACCCACAGCATATCTCTCAAGGCCTCAGTGCCTCGGCCCCGAGGACCCAGTTTCACGAGGACTCAAATGCTGAGAGCTCTGTTCCCTTCCCCCTGGGGTTCAGCAGTTGAAGTTTAGCCGCCCCGCCCCGCCCCCAGAGCCAGCCAGCCTGGTCCCTCAGGCTCCGGGGACCCACGGCAGCCTCCCCTCCCTCCCGTCCTCCTCCCTCAAAGTCGGCCCTTGGCCCCCAGACCTGGGCTCCCGGCCCGCAGCTCCCCGCTCGCTCAGACCCCGCGTTCCCAGCCGTCCTCCCCGAGACCCGGGGGCCCCTCCTCCCTCATTCCATCTAGCTCCGTCCCTCGGGCTCGGGGAACGCGGGGGCCCGCACCCTTCCTTTTCTTTTTTAAGGCGACAAAGGTCTCTCAGATCGCAGCGCGTGTCCTCCGCTCGCCCAGCTTCGACGGCGACCGGTACCGTGTGCTGGCGCGACTCCAGAAAGCACGGAAGGCGGGGCCACCCCGGTCCCCGATACTCGAGGTCCCATTGGTGGAGGAGGACTCGTCGCGTGGTCTTATTGGGCGAGCCTTGGGGAGCCGCTGCATCCCATTGGTCCCCGGAGAAGCCAATCACTTGGCCGGTGTCCCCCCCCAAGGCACGCGCGCATGCGCCCCCTGGCTGTGGCGCCCCCGAGGTTTGCACGCGGAGCTTGTGGCCTGCCCCCCCCCCCCTGTGCTCGGTAGCAAACTTGGCCTTTGCCCCGCGAACTAAATACCCACCAGAAGGGTCTCTCGTGCTCCTCGCCCTGCCCCTGGCCTGGCAGCCACCCGGTGGCTCCAGCCACCACGTGTCAGCTTGCCTTCCTCCGGCTCCTCCATCCTCCCGCCCAGTCCTGGAGGGCTGAGCAGAGAGAGGATGGTCCTCCTCCGAGAACCAGACGAACATTCGCACGCGTTTAATGCGCGCTTTGAATGTATTTTGATTTATTCTGTGGGCGTGGGTCTTCGTGTGTGTGTGTGTGTGTGTGTGTGTGTGTGTGTGTGTGTGTGTGTGTGTGGACACACGCCTGGAGCTTGGAGGTTGTCAGCGCGGTACTGCCGGCTTGGGGGTCCTGGGGATCAAACTCGCGGCTGTTAGGTTTAGTGCCGGTACCTTTACCTCCAGTCATCTTGCTGGCCCTCAAATCACCACCACCACCACCATCGTCTTCTTCCTTCCTCTTTCTTCTCTTTTATTATTGAAAACAAATCGTTGCAATCTTTTAATAAATGCATGTGATTTACGTTGTTCAAATACTGCTTTTTCTTTTCAAGGCAGTCTTCTAGCCCAGGATGGCCTTGAACCCCCCTTGTAGCTGCAAACGACTTTGAACTCCTGATCCCTCTGACCTCTCTTCCTGGGTGACTGGTCGCTGCCACCATTTATGCGGCACTGGGCGTGGAAGCCGCTAGGCAAGCTCTCTACCCGCCGAGCCCCGCCCCTCCCCGCCCCGCCCCTTCTTCATGTTTATCTCCTCTGCTCCCTTTCCTCCTTCCCTCAGCCCTGCACTCCATGCCCGTCTCCTGCCTCAGTTCCACACAGTAGGACTCGCGAGCCGTTTGTCGTCCTGACTGCGGACCCTGCCTTACACGGGGAGCTAAGAATGGGAGGCTTTTGTTGATAACCGCTTAGTACTGCACTGCACACTCCACGTCGTCTTCATCTGCTGGTGACTCGCTGCCGCTGTGACTGGCGCCGCGATCATGCTGGGCAGGCTGGGGGTTCCACGGCCAGCGGAAGCGGTTGATTTGCTCTTTGGCTCAGAAGCATCACATGGGGTCGGAGGCGATCGCGCTGTTCCACACAGCTGCTCGGCCCCTTGCCTGCAAAGGAAGGGAACAGCGACCTTGTGAGAGTGTGTTATCATACAGGTGAAAAAGCACACGTTTGTGTGAGTGAATATTTTTATCTTGCTATGTGTGTGAGTGTTTGCCTGCATGTATTTCTGGGTACCACTTGTGTGCGTGGTGCTTACAGAGGCCAGAAGAGGGCACCAGATCCCCTGGAACAGGCGTTACAGTTGGGAGCTGCTCTGTGGGTGTTGGAATTCCACCTGGGTCCTCTGGAAGAGCAGCTGGTACTCTTAACCACTGAACCAGGCTGGCCTCAAACTCAGAGGCCTGCTTCTGCTTCCCAAGTGCTGGGATTAAAGGTGTGTGCCACCACCACCCGGCCTTTAAACTGAATTTTTAAACTAAGGATTCAATGTTTTTGGTGTCACTTATCCTTGCCCCAGCTATATGGTGGAAGTACATTTCTTTTGAGAATTTCTATTCATTATTTTATGACAGAGTGTTCCCAGGTAGGTAGGTCCTCAATTTTTTTGGGGTACCCCTGCTTCTGTTTCTCAGGTGTTACAGTTAGAGGTTTGTACCTCACCTGGATTGGAATTGTTTCCAAACAGGGCCTCATGAAGCTTGGCTGGTCTTGAACTCATAGAGTTGCCAGAGAAGACAGCCTGGAAGTTTCTATCCTTCTGCTTCCACCTCCTAAGTTCTGGGGTTGCAGGCATGTACCCCGACATACAGTGCTGGGGCTCAAATGGCTGCTTTACGCATGGGAGATGGGCACCCTATAGCCAACCCCTTTGGGGTTGTTCTCAAATGGTGGAGTGCCCGTGTGTTCTGGAGATCTGCTGCCAACAGCTTGATCACTGTACACTGGAAATGCTTACAACCAAAATCCGTTTTCTCTTTTCATTTTGAAACGAGTGGAGCCTCAGAGTGGAGAGTAGTCAAAGATGGAGCCTTTTTCTTCCTCTTCCCCGGGAAATCGCTAGTTCTGAGCACTGTATGTTTAGTAAGCACACCATGGGAATGACAGATAAAGATGGAGCCTTTTTCTTCCTCTTCCCTGGGAAATCGCTAGTTCTGAGCACTGTATGTTTACTCAGTGCTCCGATGCTATGGAGACACCATGACCTTGACAACTCTTAGGAGAGAGAGAGCATTTCATAGGGCTTGCTTGCAAGCAGGCAGGCAAAGTAGCTGAGAATTCTATAACTGGAAGAGAGAGCCACTGGGTGTTTGGGGCTTTTGAAAAGTCAAAGCCCACCCCTGTGTCACACTATCTCCAACAAGGCCACACCTACTCCAGAAAGCCACACCCAATCCTTCTCAATAAGTGCCACTCCCTGAAGACTAAACAGTCAAGTGGATGAGCCTATGGGGCTTTCCTTACTCAAACCACCACACCGTGAAACCAAAGAGTGAGTGAGGGTGGCTTCTGATCAGGGGTCGGCTTATTCGGAAGGGAGCTTTCTCGTTGTCTCATAGAGAACCCTTTCCTGTAAATGTGCTCACAGAATTCCTCAGACATTGGACCTGCCAGAGCCAAGTTTGCAGCGTCCTGAGGTTTTTATCTATTTAATTTCCTTGAGACAGATCTCACTGTATAGTAACAGCTTCGGCTGATGTGGTACTGCATAGATAGACCAGGTTGACCTTGAACTTGTGATTCTCTTGCCTCTGCTTCATCTTGCTTCTCTTAATGTAAGAGGTGTGAGCCACCATGTCTCACCTCTTAATGAGGACATTCGATGCTATAAGGAAAACAATATATTTATTTACCAGAGAGAGAGAGTCGCACAAACCAGGAGTTAGAAGCGTGGCTGGCTTCCAAGAGAAAAAAAGGGAGGTTCCTTTTCCTTTCACTTCCTTTTATATCTACCTGTGTCAGCTTACATGTCCCCACTCTCATGGGCAGATAGCTTTGTGGGGTTCACTCCTACAACCTCTCACTGCCTCCGTTTTGTTATTCTGAATTTTCTTTTCTTGGAGACAGGGTTTTCCTGTGCAACCCTGGCTGTCCTACAACTGTCTCCATTTACCAGGCTGGCCTTGAACTCAGAGATCTACCAGCCTCTGCCTTCCAAGTGCTGGAATTAAAGGTATGTGCCATCACACCAGATCTGTGACCCTGAACTAACTTTTATAAGTGGATTTCCCCCATTCCACAGATCTTTGCTCTTAGTCCTGTTTTGCATCAAATATTACTTATTTTTTTGAGACTAGGATTCTTTATGTAGCCCTGACTGTCCTGAAACTCACTCTGTAGCTCAGACTGGCCTCAAACTTGGAGATCCACCTGCCTCTGTTTCCCAAGTGCTGGGATTAAAAGCATGGGCCACCAATGCATGGCTGTCCTTAAATTTCAAAAACCTCCTTAGCCTCCCAAGTGTTGGGATTTCAGAGATGTGCACTATACACTAACATGTCATCTTACAGGTTGTCACTATGTGTTTCTTTAAAAATATGTCTATAGCCAGGCGTTGGTGGTATACTGTTTTAATCCCAGCACTGGGGAGGCTGATGCAGGTGATTCTCTGTGAGTTCAAGGCCAGCCTGGTTTGCAGACCGAGTTCCAGGATATCCAGGGCTGTTTCACACAGTAACCCTGTCTGGAAAAATAAAACAATTATTTTGATCAACGTTCCCATGCACATACACGTGAGTGCAGAGTCCAGGTGAGCATGCTGCAATCCCTAGAGCTAGAATTGTGCATGGTTGTGAGCATTCAACCTGGGTGCTGGGAACCAAGCTGGTGTCCTCTCCAAGAGCAGAATGGACCTCTGACTCCACAGCTGTCTCTCCAGCCCCAACAATGCGTTGGCCGTGCAGGTCTGTCCCTCTGTCCTGCAGCATCTGTTTCTCCAGGGCTCTGATTTTGCATTGCCACACTGTGCTGGCATGCGGCGCCTTGCCACAAGCAATTCTGAGGTATCAGGAAAAGAAAGACCAGACGTCCACTTGTTTGTACTAAGAGAATGCATGAGCTGCCTTTATTGCCAGGAGAATGTGTGTGTATGTGTGTGTGTGTCTTCATTGCAAGTGCTAAGAGGTCTCTCCCTTGTAGGAGGGAGGAGCTTTATATACAGGTTTACAGCACTGTGGAAAAACCCCAGGTAGAAGAGAGCATGTTTTCCTTCTGCTGGATGTTGATGCCAGAGGGTCAAGGCCAGGGCAGGAAGCCAGGACTAGAAAACAGGAAGCACTTGGACTGGAAAACAAGTTGCACTTGTAGGCTGACCAGCAACTCACAGAGGCCCCGTGGGGTTGGGGCCCAACATCTCCCCCTTTCTTTATATATAAATTAGCACCTATCTCAGGTGACTAGGACGTTAATGCCCATCTTAGTATCAATAACCAACCCTGTATAAATGTAAACAAGCATTGATAAATAATAATTGGGAATGTGGGCGTCGTTCTTTCCAAACTACTTCCTGCTGTTAAGGGGCGCTGAAATACCATGGGGATCATGACAAAAACAAAACAAAACCCAGAAACCTGTTGAAGTTCTTGTTTTTGTGGTCTGTAAGGCTGCATCATCTCAGCTGTTTTAGATGTTGGATCATCTGGGCCACTGCTTCAGATGGTCTTGCTTCATCAAACCATACTAGTCTGGAAGGAACCCACAGCTTTTTATGTTCTGTGGAAACAAAAGCAGAAATTCTTTTCCCAAGTAACCTATCCTTATATTTAAATTTAGAAGTCAAAGCATTTTCAAAATATATAAGTTGGATTAATTTAGCAGCATTAATAATCAAATGTCTTTTAGCAGTTTTTGTTCCTTCCTTAGCAATTAAACAATTTAAAGACAACACAACTGTACACAGTATTCAGACTCTCTGTGTATTTTTCATTCCATATACTTTTATCTTTTCCTTTTCTTTAACTTAATACCAGTACCTCGTTTATTAACTGTTACCAATTTTCAATTCACTCACTTTTAATCCATCCTCCAACTGAGGGTGATCTCTCAGGTTCCCCTTTCTTTCCCGACCTTGGTGTCAGGCGAAGGCCTGGAGATTGAATCCAACCCACCCTTCAACTGAGGGCGATCTCTCAGTTTCCCCTTACTTTCCCAAACTCAGTGGATCGGGCGAAGGCTGGAGATTAATTCAATACACCTTCTTCTTAGAAGGTGATCTCTCAGGCAAAAGCCTGGAGATTTGACCATTCAATTTTACTGTTAGAAGTTGAGGTACCTATTTTTAAATCTTTTCTTTTTTGAGTCACTCCTCTCCTGAGTCTTCTTTCTGGCCAGTCTTTCCCAGTCTTTCCAAGTCTCTCTGGATCTCGGTGGGACCTCCAATTGCGGCACCCATGCCACACGCAACTCCGAGGTTATCAGGAAAAGAAAGACAAGACGTCCAGCTGTTTGTGTTTGTACTAAGAGAATGCATGTGTTGCCTTTATTGCCAGGAGAATGTGTGTGTGTGTGTGTGTGTGTGTGTGTGTCTTCATTGCAAGTGCTAAGAAGTCTCTTTATTGTAAGAGGAAGGAGCTTTATATACAGGTTTACAGCACAGCGGAAAAACCCCAGGTAGAAGAGATCTTGTTTTCCTCCTACTGGATGTTGATGTCAGAGGGTCAAGGCCAGGGCAGGAAGCCAGGACTAGAAAACAGGATGGACTTGTACCCTGTGGGGGTTGGGGTCCAACACTGGCACACAGCTATGAGCCCAGGATGGGATGCAGAAGCAGGCTGTGGGGGAGGTGAGGTGGCTAGCCAAAGGCAGCTGTCACCCCGACCTGAGCTGCTCTTCTGTGTAACCCTTGAACTAAGGTGGACACTGTGATTATTACATGGCGTCACCAGCTGGAGCAATGGCTCATGCCATAGCATGCCTTCTGCATGGAAGACTCCAACATATGGACCAAGAAGGGTGGGTGATAAGCACAGTGGTTAGTATCTTTTCCTAAGGAATGAGATTGAGAGACAGCTGGGGCACCCATGAAGGAATGAGACTGAGAGACAGCTGGGGCATCCATGCAGGGATGAGATTGAGAGACAGCTGGGGCATCCATGCAGCAACCTTTGGGGTGTGTCTGTCTGCTGGGTGTGTTTCCAGAGCGGGTTAATGGAGTGGGGACAATGGGGCACCATGCTGTGGCTGGACCGTCATTCCTGTCTCCCTGGTTTTGGGTCCTTAGAGACAAGAAGGTCCCAGTTTCATGCCCCACCACTGTTACCACACTTCCCCCACAATGATCCTGCCAGGAAGTCTTCCCTCCATTCAGCTTGTTTTCAGGTTCGCACGATGGCAATGAGGAAATTAATTAATCCACTGAGGATGCTGTGTGGACCCACATGGACTCTTCTGCCTCTCCAGATTCAGTCGTCCTGAGTGTCCTTGTGGGTGTCAGGTAATGGTGTGTCCAAAGGACAGGACAGTGACATTGGAATATGAGGTCCTGGCTCCTTCCTCACAGAGCCACTGCTGGGCAGGTTGCAAGTTTTGGCCCAGAATGAAACTCTAAAAAGTGTCAGTCAGTGAGATAGTTCATTTGGGCAATGGCACCCGCCTCCAAGCCTGAGGTAGTGAGTCCAGTGGCCCAGAATCCACACTGCAGAAGGAGAGAACCTAATCCACACACACAAGAGAAGCTGAGGGTCACAGGTAAGGCCCAGTGACCAGTGACCTCCCAGGTCACAGAGAGGCCCAGGGCTTTAGGATCATGATGGCTCTGTGGGCCACAGGTTGGAAAGAAGCCTTGCCTTGGAGTAACCCAAGCGCTGTGTAAGTTTCCTAGAGATGGAAACATCCCACCCTGCAGGGAAGCTCCTTAAGCAGAAAGCTAAACAACTCAAAATAGGCTCAGGAAGTTCCTGAAGCCAACCAGACCTGACCAGGCTGCTCCCTGACAGGGCAGGCAGTAATAGTTGCAAAGGAGACCAGACCAGACCAACTGCCTGGAAGAAGCAGAACCCAGAGGAGCCACCTGCAAGAGGTTCAGACCAACTGAGGCACCTGGAAAAGACACTTCCACCCTGCTGAGCGGCCTGCAGGCTGTGCAGAGCGCTCCAGGTTCCCAGCTCTGTGAGCTGTCACTCATGCCGGGGTGGGCTTAGGTGATGAGCTGCCTCTGAGTCATTTCTGCTCCTGTGATTCCTGACCCATACATAGAACTGTAAGTAACCCCGATGTCACACCCATTGGTTCACCAAGTTGAACTTTGGTGGTATCTTATTTTGTTCTGTCAAGGTGTCAAATCTAGGGTGCATACATGCGTATGTTGAGTCTCACCAGGAAACACTTTGTCACACAGCACCATGGAGGCCAGACCTGTAAGTGCCCCTACTCACTACCTGGCCAATGTCGCCTGTTATGTCAGAGAGAAATTACACTAGGCTGGTCGGAGGGTGCACAGCAAGACGGAGGCTGTGGACATTTTATGGAGAGTAATCAGACCTTTTATCCTCTTGTCAGAAGCAGAACGTAATGGCTGCAGCTGCCAGGATACAATGAAGTGTGTAAGCTATCCAGGGTACACAGATGGATGTCTAATACCAGGTGTCCCGTCACCTTCCGTGTCTGACAGTCAAGCATGCTTCCTTGGCTACCCCATGCAGAGAAACACAAAGCAGCCGGAACATTTCACTGCCTGAGAGAGCATGGGGGTCACTCAGGAGATTGCAGGTGTTAAGGTCTGAGAGAAGCCGCCAAGAAAAGACTAACAGTCATGTACGGAATAAGCAAGGGGGTTTATTGTTTCCAACAAGTTGGGGTGGCAAATAGTGACCCCAAAGGATGGTCATAAGCTTCTTTTAAATGGAGTAGGGGAGCTCAAAGGAGGAGGGATTAATCTGGGCTGGCTGGTGGGGGAAAGTTTAGTCTCTGGGCTGATTGGTGGAGGAAAGTTTAGTCTCTGGGTTGATTGGTGGAGGAAAGTTTAGTCTCTGGGCTGACTGGTGGGGGAAAGTTTAGTCCCTGGGTTGATTGGTGGAGGAAAGTTTAGTCTCTGGGCTGACTGGTGGGGGAAAGTTTAGTCCCTGGGTTGATTGGTGGAGGAAAGTTTAGTCTCTGGGCTGGCTGGTGGGGGAAAGTTTAGTCTCTGGGCTGGCTGGTGGGGGAAAGTTTAGTCTCTGGGCTGACTGGTGGGGGAAAGTTTAGTCTCTGGGCTGGCTGGTGGGGGAAAGTTTAGTCTCTGGGCTGGCTGGTGGGGGAAAGTTTAGTCTCTGGGCTGGCTGGTGGGGGAAAGTTTAGTCTCTGGGCTGGCTGGTGGGGGAAAGTTTAGTCTCTGGGCTGACTGGTGGAGGAAAGTTTAGTCTCTGGGCTGGCTGGTGGAGGAAAGTTTAGTCTCTGGGCTGGCTGGTGGGGGAAAGTTTAGTCTCTGGGCTGATCTGTGGCCTCCAGTGCTGAGGCACCTTCCAGCTGCAGAGGCTGTGGGGTGCCGGATGATTGGTTGCCCTAAGTTGTGGCTTTCCCGAGTACTGCTAACTGAGCTTCAGCCAGTTCTAGTGCACTGAAACTGAAGCCTGGACTCTGTGAGGGCTACTAGAACCTGTCATGGCTCTGGTCTGGTTTCCCGGCCCTCTCAGGAGGCACATTGTACCCCAGGAGCCACAGACTCTAACGTGAAAGAACTGTGACACACGCCTCTCAGAGAGGCTAGGACCGGACAACTCCCTGGCCTCCTGCATATGTCTCTCAGTGGATCCCAGTGAGCGCCACCATTTCCTCTCAAGAAACCCAGTACTTGGGGGATCAAAAGTGACACTGTTATTTCATGGGTGTCGGCTGTGGTGCAGGGTGAGCTCAGACATATCAGAGGCAGAGGTGTGGGGTGTGTGACGTGGGCATTGGGACAGCATGAGCAGGCCGTTGCAAGTGTAAGGTCTCAGGTTATCCCATCAGAAGACAACGGGGTGTGGGGGCCAACAGGGATTCGGAATCACCGGGAAACGGGTTGAGCAGAGAGGATGGAGCCCTACAGACACAGGGCTAAGAAAAGCCACAGCCCCAACAGCCAGACCAGGGCGGTGCCAGGGACAAACAGATGTGAGAAGGAATTTGCAGTCAGTGACATGTCAAGCTTTTCCACCACGGAGAAGATGCCAATTGTGTCTTTGCCTTTCAGTAAGGTTTTATCAGGAGAGCGCAGGCACCCATCAATGCTAAACGTGGCACTGAATCCCCCTGGAAGATGAAGGTCCAGTCAGGAGGAAGGGGCAGAGAGGGATAGTTCAGTAAACCTAAAACACCTCATATCCAGGAGCCCAGCCTCCAGCCCTTCTCCTGTGGACCCAGGAGCCAAGGTCCAAAATTTTCCCTCAGACCCAGGTTCTAGAGTCCAGCCACACTCTTTCTGCTGCAGCATTCCAGGCCTCTGACCTCACCGCTCAGACCCAGGAGTTAGCCGACCCCCCCCCGTCCCTTCCGCTGAGTCCCTGGAGTCATGGCCTCGGCCTCCCTCATCCTGGGGGTACATCCTGCAGCACTCACCTCCCTTAACCTTAATGTCACCTGTGTAGCAATGAGTGCCCTTAGGACAGTGGACGTAGTTGGAATTTCGAGTGCAGGAACCTTGAAAATTCAAGCAGACTGGACACTGGGCGGTTCCTGGGCTAGTGGAGTCTGAGGAGGCAGAGGCAGAGGCTGCACAGTATACTCTCAGCTGCACCCACGGGCAGCCCCTGAAGTGCCCTGTCCCCGGATCCCATACTTGGAGGGAGGAGGTGCTTAAGCAGGACTTGGCTGGTGTTAGCATGGTTGCACAGATCAGTGTCACACGACTTGAAGTAAGAGGCGGCCACTATTCCAGGTCCACTGGCATACTGCCTGGTAAATTCATTCGCGTGATCCCCAGGGTTGCTGGGACCTTTGCTCCCCACTAGGAGTGTTCTTGGTCCTGCGGGGGTAAGAGAGAGTGAGCTGAGCTGGATGGGGAGGATGGCCAGGCCTGGGAGCCCAGTCCTCAGTCCCTTGATGTTCCCAGTCTCAGGGACAGCACGATCCCCAGTGAATATGGGACACAGCACGTCCTGTGTCAGCCAAAGCCTGGGGCTCAAGCCCGGCTGCCTCTGCCCCGCCCCTTGCAGATCCTGCTGCACGCAGTGTGCACACAGTGTGTCCTCCTCCAGGCTGCAGCCTCACTGTGCTCAGGCTCACCTCTCCTCTCTGGATTCCTCTCCACGCCCCGCCCTTCACGCCCCCAGCTCTCCCTGTGCTGTTCCTCCCTCCTGTCCTCTTCCCTGCAAAGCTGCAAAGGACTCAGTGGATTAGCAGAGTCCCAAAGTGGGCTCAGCTTCCCCTCCCCCTCCCTCCCTCCCTCCCTCCCTCCCTCCCTCCTTTCCTCCCTCCCTCCCTTCCTCCCTTCTCTGTTTCTTTAGCTCCTTGCCTCTCTCTCTCTCTCTCTCCCCTCTCCCCCCCTCCCTCCCTCCCTCCCTCCCTCCCTCCCTCCCTCCCTCCCTCCCTCCCTCCCTCCCTCCCTCCCTCCCTCCCTCCCTCCCTCCCTCTCTCTCTCTCTCTCTCTCTCTCTCTCTCGCCCTGAGAGTCTCAGGTCTTGAACCCACTACATAGGTGAGGTTGGCATTGACTTTCAATTTCATTGTCTCTTCTTTCCCAGCCCTGTGATTACAGGCGTGCCCAATTCACCTGGTGATGGGGATCCCGCAACTCAAGGTGCTGGACCAACCGAGTCCCACCCAGCAGAGCAGTCCTCCTTTAAAGATGGGGTTGATCGGGGTCACCCTGGTTGTCCTACTACTGCTCTCATCTCTGAGCTTGGGGCTACCGCCCAGCAAGACAAGGCACAGGGAGAGGAGAGCCCAGGCATGAGGGAAGCTTGGTGGGGACTGCAGGACACAGAATCCAGGCAGGGGTGGGCTGGCCCCATGCAGGGGTGGGCTGGCCCCAGGCAGGGGTGGGCTGGCCCCAGGCAGGGGTGCAGCCCTCCCTCCCATCTCACACACCTACGTCTACAAGCAGGAGCGTCTCCTGACAAATCTCCTCAGGCTTACACACTTGGGTCGCTGATACAGACCACTCGACAGCTTCCTTGGCAAAGCCAACGCCAAGCCTCAACATGGCCCCTTTGTAACATGTCATAGTATCTGTGGAGAGGGAAGTCACAGGGGTTGTGAGAGTCAGGGAGCCCCCATGTGGTCCCCCAGCTTCCGGGCTACGGGCAGCCATCATGCTCCAAGCCATACTCCCTGCACCCTGGCTGTGACATCCCTTTCGCTCAGAAGTCCAGGCCTCCAAGCCCGCAGCTCCGTTCACCCTGTTCCTCCCTGAACCCCGGCTCCTCTCAGCCTCCTGAGGAAGGCTTGCTCCTCCGCCATAGGCTCCTCTTCAGCCATTCTCTACTCCCCATCTGATTTCGTGTCCCGGCAGAATGATGAGGAAGGTGTCCTGGATTCACCCCTCCCTGCCTGTGTGTGTGTGTGTGTGTTGGTGCTCTCCCGGAGTGTGTGTGCGCATGTGTGTGCTCAGAGCTCAACGCCAGGCATTTCCCTTAATCAGATTTCAAGCCCTTTTGATACCGGCTCTCTCGGTGACAGAAGAGCTCACTCATTTGGCCTGACCCTTGGCCATCAGAGCCATCTCCTAGCCTAATGCGTCTCTTAGGACTGAGAAGCCCTAGACTCGAATGAAATCGCTATGTTGACCTCCAGCGAGCATTGGGCCCTGCTTGGGGCCTGGGTACAGAAAAGGCTCTCCACAGATGAGCCCACCGCGCCCCCACTTTTGTGTTTGAGACAGGCTCTTGCCGTGTGGTCCAGGCTGGCCAGGCGCTGGCAGTCCTCCAGCCTCTGTCTCTGGAGCACTGGGGCTGCAAACCCTGCTCCGGCCCTCACCGTTGCCTGCGTGTGTCATTTCCTCACCACGACCCCGCTGCAAGGGGCGGCATTCTCAAGGTAGCGGCGCTGAGGCAGGAAGTGTTGCGGGTTTTGCCTGATGTCACCCAGGCGGTAGATGGCAGAGCTGGACTCAGAATTTAGGCTGTCTCCTTAGGCTCAGGGTTGAACACAGCAGTCTAGTTGGACGACCTCGAACCTGACCTTCCCCAAGGACCTCAGTGATCACCACACAATCTCACGAGCCCCACGGTGCAGGAGTTCCTGGAGGGGACTGAGTGTCCACAAGCACTCTCACCCTCCTTGACGGCCCCCAGGTGGGGGCTGGCCATGTCCTCATTTCCCAGGTGACAAATGAGCAGCTCAGCTGCCCTGCTCCTGCAGAACAGATCTGCACTCTCCCTGCTCGCCCGCCACATCCCCCCAATTTTGCTCAAAGGTGGCTCCTTTCCCCTTGTAGCACAAGGCGCAGAACAACCCCGATTTTCATCCATGTTTTCTCTCCAGCCCATGTTGCACTCTCCAGGAAACCCTGTGGCTCATGCTGCACAGTAATGTAATTGTGGAACCTGAGCACTGTGACCACCTCTAAGGCCTCCACCCAGCTGCAAGACGCCAGGGCCTTTGCCTGCCCATCATGGGTCTCTCTGAGACCCTCACTGCTCCCCCACCCTATTTACCACACGGCACTAGGGTCCATTTAAAGGATAAGGTAATCATGCCAGACCTCAGAGAAACTCCGAGAAGCCTCCAGAAGACAGAAAATTCCGGTTGGTCCCTGTCTGCTACTTAACAAATCTGACTTCTTAAAGGGTTATAGAGACAGCTTAGGGGTTAAGAGCACCTGCTTCTCTTTGAAATATTGCATTTAAACCCACCAATTGGGAGCACATACCTTACTGCAGGCAGGCAGGCAGACCACACACACACACACACACACACACACACACACACCCTGCACATAATGAAAATATATGTAAAGCCTTCTGAAGTCTTAGAATGGCCCGCAGGTCCCCATGCGATTTGTCCTTCCTGTGTCTCCATGAACCCATCCACTCTCCATCACGGTGGCGCGTATATAGCCCTCCAGCCTAGGGACATCGGATAGTGTCAGAGAACAAACGGAGAACGAATTACATTCTAGGGTGGTGGAACTATTCTGGCCAAGACAGGGACAAGAGGAAGGCAGGGGGACAATTTGGTGGCACCGTTATTGAAGAAGGACCAAGGGGCGTGCAAGGCTTGGATTTTCTCTCTGGAAATTTGGGCAGGGGTCCACTGAGAAAAGCGTGTCTGCAGAGTAAGGAGTGTCTCACACATTGTCCTCCTCTTCTCCTGCCACGTCTGTCATCACTTCCTCCTTCTCCAGTGGCTAAGGGACATCAATGACATGCAGAGCATTTGGACATCCAATGACGGTGTGTCCCTGGCTCACCCTCTGCCTCCTCACCTGAGTAGGGGGTGAAGGCCAGCAGGAGGAGGAGCAGTGAACAGTGGACCCAGCAGGCTGCCATGGCTTCTCTGAGGCTGGGAAGAGCTGACCAGGACCTGGAACTGATGGAGAACAGGAGACCTTCAGACAGACAGACAGATGGACAGAACTGTCTTTGCCTGTGCTAACTCTAGGGTATAAGAGAACGTGAAGCCAGTCTATCCTGAGTTGTTTGAGTTTTACAATTCTCAGACTCAGCCACAGATCGATCCCCTTACAGCAGGAACCCAGCAACTCTGTTCCCTCAGTGTCTAGATGCAGGATACAGGGCCCGGAAGTCCTCTGCTGTAAGCCTGAGGACTTCGGATCCCAAGCAGAACCTTCTCCAGACCTCAGAGTCTCAGCTCTAAGCACCCAGCTCCCCCAGACCTCCAGTTCTGAGCGCCCTTGTGTGTCTGTCTGAAGAATGTGGCATCTGGTTTCTGCTCCTCCCACCCAGGGGACCCAGAGTTCCTGTCGCCCACTTGGCTTCTCCGGGCCTTAGTGCACAGTACCCAGCACCCTTTATGAAGGAGCAGCAACCCCGGCCTCCTCCTGCTGTCATGGGTGGCCTTCGACTCCCCGGATGCTTCCCAGACACAAAACCTCGGAGACTTTGAGAACCCAGACCCGGAGATCAATCCCAGCTTCGTAAGACCAAATCCCCGTTCCTTCAGACGAGGGAATCCAGGGTCCAGTTTCCCTCAGCCCCAAGAACTCAGCCCCTGTTTATCTAACTCAGGCCTATGTATGGAGCCTCCCCCTCCCTCGGACCCAGGATTCCAGGCCCAGCCTGCTGCTTCAGACTCAAGACTGTCTGGCCCTGCTCAGTCCTTCCCCCTGCTCGCCCTCACCGCCCTCTCTCCTCGGGTCTCAGGGGTCTGGTCCCTCACTGCTGCTTCTCTTTTTATCTGTAGAATCCTTGCGGCTCCAGAAATGTCCTCACCAGATCTCGGGCTTGGAAGGCCCCTCCTGATAGATTCCAATCTCGTGTCTGTCTCCTCCCAGATTCCCTGAAAGCGGCAACCTCGGTCAGAGAATGCACTAGAGGGCCCATTGGCGTATGAGGACCCTTTGCAAACCCCATTGGATAAGCCCGGAGAATGGCTGCATCTCATTGGTTCCCCGAGATGGCAATTACTCGCCTCTTCCCGAGGCACGCGGGTCCAGTAAATGGGTGTTGGGTAACGGTCAGTGGGGTCAGTGGCAGTTGCTGCCGAGGTCACCTGCCATTTCCAGGGTCACGTGGCATCCGGGTGGGTTGAGTGGTGGAAGGCCTTTTCCCTGTCCCTCAAAGTGCTTCAGAATTGTGCTCAAGAGCAGGGAGCTGGCTCCACCATCACCGTATTTACTCTCATCGTTGCTACTATGATGGCCACTCAGAGTACACGTAATTGTCAGTTCTTTTATTACATTTTACGATGTCTTGTGTGCGTGTGTTGAGGATCCTCTGTCAAGGTCCACGTGACAGGGGACAAATTGGGGAGTCATTTTTCTCCTTCCACCGTGTTGTCCCAGGAATCGAACTCACGATTTCCGGATGGTGGACAGGTGCCTTCACCTGCTGAGGTGTCTTTCCAGCCCTCACTTTTCTCTTAAGCGGTAATTTATTAATTATATACAGCACATTAATTATATACAGCATAATTAGCTTCAGTGCAATGTTTTCCTGAGATCTCGCAATGTGCTTCGGTCCTACATTATCTTTTGAGGCAGAATCCTCCGGCCCAGGATGGCCTTGAACCCCCCCCTTGTAGCTGCAAACGACTTTGAACTTCTGATCCCTCTGACCTCTCTTCCTGGGTGACTGGTCGGTGCCACAATTTATGCGGCACTGGGCTTGGAAGCCGCTAGGCAAGCTCTCTACCCGCTGAGCCCCTGCCCGCCCCGCCCTGCCCCTTCTTCATGTTTATCTCCTCTGCTCCCATTCCTCCTTCCCTCAGCCCTGCACTCCATGCCCGTCTCCTGCCTCAGTTCCACACAGTAGGACTCGCGAGCCGTTTGTCTTCCTGACTGCGGACCCTGCCTTACACGGGGACCTAAGAACAGGAGGGTTTTTTTTTTCAGGGCTGTTTAAACAGAATTTTAAATGTGTAGCTCATTTCATAATCCTAAACTGGATCTTTCTCGGTCTAAACACTCCACCTTGGGGTTTCCTTATGAATACTGTGGTTGGATGACGAGATCCTTTCTTCCGCGGTTGCTGCCAATCAGCTGGGTCTTAATATCTCACGCTCAAGAGACATGTGCAAATGAGGAGCTCCCTGCTTCAGCCGTATCATCCGGGGCTCTGCTCAAGTCTTACTGTCCTTCAGGACATGAACTTAGGAACAGCTCCATGTACCCGTGTTGAGCGTGGAACCGATCCTTGAGCACAGCGGCCACAGGTCCTCGTGGGTATTGAAGCACCCATCAGCTTCCACCGTGGCTTAGAATTCCGCTAGTGCTCCGTGGTGATTCTCACAGGCTTCGACGGAGCACGGAAACTTATAATTAATGCTTGAACAGCCAATCCTCTCTTGTGCACAAAGCAGAGTGAAGGCAGAGATCCCAAACCAACAGTCTCTGGGAGTTTTTTCTTAGGCAGTTCCATCCCTTCCAAAAGCTGTCATAGGTCAAATATCCTCACTTATTTCATGTCCTTCAAATATCACTTCTGGCTCAGTTACGTCGTTAGCAGCAGGAGATGATGCCACTTTCGTTCCCTCACGAGATCTGTTACCAATTTCTTCCCTGTGCCTTAAAAGCGCTTGGTTGGCCATTCCTGGTTCTTCAGACTGCACACCGGCCTCGCCCGCTTTCCTCTTCCTCTACATCCATCTCAAAAGCAGTGGCTACTGTGTTCCGTCCCGCAAAGAAGTCGGCAAAGTCTTTCTCGTTCAGCTGCAAGGAATGACCACGGCGTCATTTCCTGTAGGTGGAGATTTGGCACGCCAGGCTCGCCATTAGGAATGACCACGGCGTCATTTCCTGTAGGTGGAGATTTGGCACGCCAGGCTCGCCATTGGGAATGACCACGGCGTCATTTCCTGCAGGTGGAGGTTTGGCACTCCAGGCTCGCCATTGGGAATGACCACGGCGTCATTTCCTGCAGGTGGAGGTTTGGCATGCCAGGCTCGCCATTGGGAATGACCACGGCGTCATTTCCTGCAGGTGGAGGTTTGGCACTCCAGGCTCGCCATTGGGAATGACCACGGCGTCATTTCCTGTAGGTGGAGATTTGGCATGCCAGGCTCGCCATTGGGAATGACCACGGCGTCATTTCCTGCAGGTGGAGGTTTGGCACTCCAGGCTCGCCATTGGGAATGACCACGGCGTCATTTCCTGCAGGTGGAGGTTTGGCACGCCAGGCTCGCCATTGGGAATGACCACGGCGTCATTTCCTGCAGGTGGAGGTTTGGCACTCCAGGCTCGCCATTAGGAATGACCACGGCGTCATTTCCTGCAGGTGGAGGTTTGGCACTCCAGGCTCGCCATTAGGAATGACCACGGCGTCATTTCCTGCAGGTGGAGGTTTGGCACGCCAGGCTCGCCATTAGGAATGACCACGGCGTCATTTCCTGTAGGTGGAGATTTGGCATGCCAGGCTCGCCATTAGGAATGGCCACTGCGTCATTTCCTGCAGGTGGAGATTTGGCCCGCCAGGCTCGCCATTAGGGCTTCTGCGTGTTTGTCTCCTATACTCCCCGAGGCGCTGCCCGCACGTCCCGCTGCTCCCACTCCATCTCAGTTAAGGCGTCGCCCTCCGTTGTGTTCCTCATCCCTGGCTAAGAGGAAATGGGTTCCATTGTCACTGTTGCGGATTCTGCAGTCTGAGCAAAAGTTAAGAGCATTCTTCCACAGTGCAGGACCAAGGGAGTCCCTGAGCTCGACTGAGATACTCTTTGTCCACCTCCTGTCCTAACTCAACTCGTGCTCAGGTAGCAGTGGGAGGTCATCCCGGGGTAAGCCCGCGCTGGGTCCTAGCGATCCCGGTAGCAGCGGGGCGTCAGGGACCGGACCCACCTGTCTCCCGGCGGGCACGGGCCCGAGAGGCGGCCCCGAGGTGCTAGCAGTAGCCGGAGGTGGCGGCCCGAGATGCCCGGCAAGAAGGTGCTGGAGGCGGAGCAGAAGGGCAGGCAGGCGGCGTCGGTGCACCAGCAGCTGCTGCGCTGGGAGCAACGCCCCTAACCTGTCCAGTCACCCAAAGTTCTTCTGCAATGTTGGGGCATACATCTTTTACCTGCAGGCCTAGAATATCTGACAGACCTTTTTCAGAAGCATGAAGTTTTGAAGGACTTCCTACCCTGCCTTGGAAACGTTCTACAGTGACTTTTCTTTATGTTCTGCTTGTCCAGTTTGTACAGGGTGCTGTCAGTAGTTGAGGCCAGGTCAGTTTCTTGGCCAAATGGCCAGCTCTTGCCACAAAGAAAGCAAACTCCATATGGAGTTTCTTCAATGCTCATCATCATTTTTTTAAAAAGTAGATCAGTGCTGCCTAGAGCAGACATATCTCATGTCAGGAAAAGTATTATGATATTAAAACACCTAGATGCCACATTCTGTAGTCCTTGAATTCAGTGTCTGAAGATTACTTATCTATCTAAAATATATCTCTGTACAATGCTGCAAACATACCTAACATGACTATGAGCTTGATAGCTTTGGGTGACTTAACCTGTATTTCTTTACTTTTTCTTTAAATTTTTTCATTTAACATACCAACCCCAGTTTCACTTCCTCCCTTTCGGCTGCCCCCCATGCCCCCCACCCTACCCCTTTTCAATCCTCAGAGGGAGTAGCAAGTTGAGGCAAGACCAAGCCCCTCCCCCACTGCATCAAGGCTGACCAAGGCATCCCACCGCAGGAAATGGGCTCCAAAAAGCCAGCTCATGCACCTGGCATAAGTCCTGGTCCCATTACCAGACCCCCCCCCACCAGATCAAGCCACACCCCTGTCACCTGATGGGGGACGTCCTTCTGTATGATGTAAATAGATATTTCTCTTATTTGTTGATGAGTAAAGCTGTTTCAGTCAACGGACAGGCAGGACTTAGCCAGGTGGGATTCCAGACAGGGGTAGAGAAAGGTGGTAGGCAGAGTCAGGGAGACACCCTGTTTTTAAGAGACCCTGCTAGCAAACCACTGAAATGGTGTTCATGAGCAGGCTGCAGCATGCTTCTTGGCAGTGGCATGGACCTAGGAACTCTGCAGAGTTCTGGCAATCAACACGGCTCCTGTCAGTACCTCCACCATGAAGACAGACACTGAGGAACACAAGGACTGGGGCGGAGCTAGCCACCACTTTAATCCTACCCATGCTGCTTAGCAAAATGCAAGACTCATGTAGTCAGAAGAAGATAGAGATGGACACTAAAGACAGATTCAGAGGGAAAAACCCTCTAAATTGTCTACAGTATGTTAAAAAATATACATAGAATAAAAGGGATGGAGAAACTCCTTAATAAGAAATAGAGTAGCTGGGCATGGTGGCACACACCTTTAATCCCAGCACTTGGGAGACAGAGGGAGGCAGATCGCTGTGATTTCAAGGCCAGCCTGGTCTACAGAGTGCCTTCAAGGACAGCCAAAAATAAACAGAGAAAGGCTATCTCAAAAAACCAAAAAATATAATATAAAACTATAATAGTAAAAAAAGCCAGAAAAAGATGGAAAATACAACATGGGTATGGATGCTGTGTTATTAGAATTGTTTGATGACTGAGGTAGGAGCTGCTAGAAGACATTGGGTTATAAAAGCTGCTGGGTTAATCCAACCAAATATTTTGAAAATACCTTTACCTTGAAATGTACATGTTACATTGGAAAAGAGTTTCTGCTTTTGTTTCCACAGGAGATCAAAAGCTGTGGATAACTTCCAAACTAATAAGGTTTGATCAAGCAAGACCCCCTGAAGCAGTGGCCCAGGTATCCAACATGCAAAACAGCTGAGACCATGCAAGCCTCACAGAGCACTACAGCCAGGACTTGGACATGGTTCTGGGTTTTCTCAGGATCCCCTTGGGATTGACAGTGCCCCCAAACAGCAGGAAGAAGTTTGGAGAGAACTGTGACCAAATTCCCAGATGTTGTTTATAAATGTTTGTTTTCATTTAAACAGGGTTGGTTATAATGGTTAATGATTAAGCTCTTTCATTTTTTTTGTTTTTGTTTTGTTTTTCCAGACAGGGTTTCTCTGTGGCTTTGGACGCTGTCCTGGGTCTCGAACTCACAGAGATCTGCCTGTGTCTGTCTCCTGAGTGCTGGGATTAAAGGCGTGTGTCAGCACTGCCCGGAGATCAGTCTCTTTCTAAAGAAAAACCAGGAATATGATATAGAAATGAATACTTTGCAATGATATGGATTTTGGTTTATTGATACAAATTAAGGTCAGTTTTGCTATATGTATATTTATACTCATTTAGTTATTGTGTGTATATAGCTCATTAAAAACATAATGTATAATTAAATATAGATTATAGATAGTCACCTATAATTGTCAAAACTTACAGTTATGTTAGGTTTTCTAGATACACAGAGATATATTTCATATGGATACTTGAAGGATTCCTCAAAACCTTTCAAATACCTACAGAATATGGCACTCAAATTGGTCTATTAGGGGTTTTTATGACAATGAGACACAACTGCTCCTGGCAACACCAATTACATCAGAGAGGAAGATGGGCATCAAAGAAACTGGTTATGGAGTTTGCCTTTGACATGGTAGGGATAGCCATTTGGACAAGAAACTGCTCCTGCCTGGACTGCTTGATAGCACACTGTCCAAACTGGACAAGTAAGTTACATAGGAAAGTGATTGCTGAACAGGAGGGTCCTTCAAGTTTCCTGCTTCATCAAAAAGTCTGCCAGACATTCTGGGGGTGCCCAAAAAATTCAGAGGAACTTTGGGTGACTGTTCAGGCAAGGAGATGTCTCTGTCAATTCTAGAGTTTATATTATTTATATAGTATACTATTATTTATATTCTAGGGTCTTTTATGCAGTTGAAGACAGAGAGTTATGCTTTTGGTTTTCTTTAGTTGTGATAAAAGATAAGTTATACACAAAACTTTAGACTCACAAAAGTAAGATAGATAATAGAACATTTTCTTTAAATTTTGCCAAATGTTAGTGGACTAAATATTGCTTAGTGTAGTTCCTGCTTGATGACTATTTTGTCATGTATAATTTTGCTATGTTAAATGGAAAACATTCCTTTTTATTTAGACAGAAAAAAGGAGATGATGGGGGATGTCCTACTGTATGCTGGGAATAGATGTTTCTCTTATTGGTTGGTGAATAAAGCTGTTTCAGCCAATGGACAGGCAGGATTTAGCCATGTGGGAAATTCAAACAGGTAGTAGGCAGAGTCAGGAAGATGCCATGTGGCTGCTGAGGAAGAAGAGACCTGGGCAGTACTGGTAAGCTAAGACCACGTGGAGACACACAGGCTAATAAAATGGATTAATAATCAAGAGAGAGTTAGTCAATAAGAAGCTTGAGCCAATAGGACAAACCATTTGTAATTGATATAAGCCTTTGTGTGTTTAGTTTGGACTAAAGGGTTGCTGGACCAGGTGGGACAGAAGCTTCCATCCACAGTCACCCACATTCATAGGGTCTAGTTCAGTCCCATGCAGGTTCCCCAGCTGTCAGTCCAGGGATTGTGAGTTCCCACAAGCTTGGACCAATGTCTCTGGTTTCTCCCAACATGGTCTTGACCCCCCTTGCTCATATAATCCCTCCTCCCTCTCTTCAACTGAACTCCAGGAGCTCAGCTCAGTGCTTGGCGGAGGGTCAATGCATCTGCATCCATCATGTAGGCTGTATGATGACAATTAGGGTAGTCACTAATAAGAATGTTGGGGAAGGTCAGTTCAGGCACCCTGTCCACGATACCTGGGAATTTCCCTTGTACCAGGTTTTCCCCTAAACCCATAATGGCTCCCTCTACCAAGACATCTCTTTCATTGGTCAGAGGTACTATCATTTCTGTTGGATTCATTCTTGCTAATTTTGGAATCCTCTATTTCCTTTAGAATCAATTCGGGAACCTTTTTTACATAGGTTTTTAATTTTTGTTTTGTTTGTGAGGCAAAAATACCCATTCCAAAGTATCTTCTCTCCATGTAAGAATTCCAGAAGGAGAACAGGTAGAATGTAGAATTACTGAGAAGCAATCAAACATTGAAAGCTGCTGTGTGGCATAGAGCCAACAGGTGTTTATCATGCCAGACTGTCTTTGTACTTCAGCAGAGTCTCCCTCTCTGAGGACTTGATCTTTGGAGATTTCAATACCTCTATCCCTACTTCATCGTTCAGTGGCCCTAACCGCATTCCTCCACCACTGTCATTGAGGACCAGGCTCCAATACTGCCGTAATCAAGTCTGTCCAGTCTTGTGGGATAATTAATTCTGTTACAAGTTGACCATGAGTTTAACATCTGCCTCACAAAAGGTGAATGCATACCACATAAAACCAACACTTCTTTAATCTCCTCCAATCTAATATTTCCACAGGCTCTTTTTGTTTTCAGTTCCCTCTTCCATGTGCTGTGTAAGTTTCCTAGAGATGGAAACATCCCACCCTGCAGGGAAGCTCCTTAAGCAGAAAGCTAAACAACTCAAAATAGCTTCAGGAAGTTCCTGAAGGCAAGCAGACTCCCAGACCCCTCCTCCCTGACAGGGCAGGCAGTAATAGTTGCAAAGGAGACCAGACCAGACCAACTGCCTGGAAGAAGCAGAACCCAGAGGAGACACCTGCAAGAGGTTCAGACCAACTGAGGCACCTGGAAAAGACACCTTCCACCCTACTGAGCGGCCTGCAGGCTGTGCAGTGCGCTCCAGGTCTCAGCTCTGTGAGCTGTCACTCATGCCAGGGTGGGCTCGGGAGATGAGCTGCCTTTGAGTCATTTCTGCTCCTGTGATTCCTGACCCATACATAGAACTGTAAGTAACCCCGATGTCACACCCATTGGTTCACCAAGTTGCACTTGGATGATATCCGTACTTTGGTCAAAGCGTCCCAATTTGCAGGGAACATTTTGTCACACATGGCGGAAGCCAGGCCTTGGCAGCGGGGACTCTCATTGAATCCCACTAGTGTTGTTCATCTAGCTGCATAGAGAAACAAGTATTTGAAGAAAAAAACAATGATTTTATTATTCCACATTGGCCAATATGTGATGGTCCCTCTGTGCACAGTGAGTTCGGCGGCTCTCATAGTAACTATCAAGCATCAGCAATGTGTGGGGCGAGGGATGTGGGCGCCACGACAGCACCGACAGACAGTTCAAGTGTGAGGTCCTAGTTTACGACGTCAGAGGACAGCTGGGCGTGGGGCCCTCGGGGATGAAGAATCACAGGGAAATCGCTTCATCAGAGATGATGAAGCCTGTCAGATAAAGGGTTAAGAAGAGCCCCAGCCCTAACACCCAAGCCAGGGAGGTGCCTGGGGCAAAGAGAAGTGAGAATGAGTCTGCAGTCAGTGGCCTCCGTTTTTCAGATACTGAGAAGACCCCTAATTTTTCTTCTCCCTTAAATATGTTTTGAGCAGTCGCGTCCAGGCATCCTTCAACACGAAAAATTTTATCCACCCCACCTAGAAGATGAAGATCCAGTCAGAGGGAAGGGGGGAAGGAAGGGATAATTCAGTAAACCAAAACCAAAACCAAACCCAAAAAGCAACCAACCAACCAAACCAAACCAAACCCTCATCTTCAGGAGCCCAGGCTCCAGCCCTCCTATTGTGGACCCAGGAGCAGAGTTTGCAATTTCTCCCTCAGACCCAGGGTTCCAGACTCCAGTCACACTCTTTCTGCTGCAGCAGTCCAGAACTCTGCCCACCTCCCCCCAGACTCAGGAGTCAGCCCCCGTCCCTTCTGCTGAGTCCCTGGAGTCATGGCCTCGGCCTCCCTCATCCTGGAGGTACAGCCCGCAGCACTCACCTCCCTTAATCGTGATGTCACTGGAATAGCAAGCAGTGTTCTTAGGACAGAAGACCAAATTCATGGGGCAGAAACTCTCATCCGTCAAGCAGACAGAACACTTAATGCTGCTTGTGTCAAAGGAGGCTGAGGAGAGAGAAGGAAGAGGCTGACCAGTGTACCCCCAGCTGCACCCACAGGCAGCCCCCTGAAGTTCTGTGTTCCCAGATCACATACGTGGGAGTCGAAGGTGAGTAACTAGGACTTCATCGCTGGTAGCGTTGTTACACTCAGATTGTTCACAGAAATTGGTAAACATGGCAGCCAGTATTCCAGGTCTTTGGGCATAATTGTTGACTTGGTTTTCCTGCCACCCATTATGGAGGCCGGAGCCTTTGCTCCCCACTAGGAGAGATTTTGGACCTGAGGGGGAACACGATGGAAGCCAGGGCTGGATGGGGAGGATGGCCAGGCCTGGGAGCCCAGCCCTCGGGTCCCTTGATGTTCCCAGTCTCAGGGACAGCACGATCCCCAGTGAACATGGGACACAGCATGTCCTGTGTCAGCCAAAGCCTGGGGCTCAAGCCCGGCTGCCTCTGCCCCGCCCCTTGCAGATCCTGCTGCACGCAGTGTGCACACAGTGTGTCCTCCTCCAGGCTGCAGCCTCACTGTGCTCAGGCTCACCTCTCCTCTCTGGATTCCTCTCCACGCCCCGCCCTTCACACCCCCAGCTCTCCCTGTGCTGTTCCTCCCTCCTGTCCTCTTCCCTGCAAAGCTGCAAAGGACTCAGTGGCTTAGCAGAGTCCCAAAGTGCGCTCAGCTTCCCCTCCCTCCCTCCCTCCCTCCCTCCCTCCCTCCCTCCCTCCCTCCCTCCCTCCCTCCCTCCCTCCCTCCCTCCATGTGGTACTGGGGACCAAGCCCAGGGCTTTCCCCCAATTAGCACAAGGCTACCTCATAGACCCCCATCATGGCCCAGAAACAAGACACAGAGAGAGAAGCCCAGGCTTGAGGGGGGCTGCGTGGGGACTGCAGGACACAGAATCCAGACAGGGGTGGGCTGGCCCCTGCAGGGGTGCAGCCATCCCTCCCATCTCACACACCTACGTCGACAATCAGGAAAGTCTCCTGACATATCCCGTTAGGTTCAGCTTCTATGGTGTTCTCTGTGGACCAGTCAAAAACTTGGTCAGTGAGGCCACTGCCAAATTTCACTATGGTCCCATTGTGGCATTTCAGAGTACCTGTGGAGAGCAAAATCACCTGCGTTTGTGAGAGTCACGGAGCCCCCACGCTGTCCCCCAGCTTCTGGGCTAAAGGCAGCCATCACATTCCAAGTCATACTCCCTGCGCCCTGGCTGAGTCCCTTAGATTTAGGCATTATGCTGGCCCGCCCCCCGTCACCTGGCAGAATGCACTCAGGCAGTGCCCTGGTCAGCCCAGGGTCCGTGACTGCTTAGTCTGCACGCAGGTGCAAAGGACCCTTTAAAAGACAGGCCCCGCCCTCTTAGGCTCTTTCCTGCTCCTCCGTTCCAGCTGTCTTCCCACTCTCTTTCCCGCTCTCTCTTTTCCTTCGTTCCCCGGGGGCAGACAGGACTGTTCCGTCCTCTCTGTCTCTTTCCCTCTTTCCTTCCCCTCCCTCGCTTTCTAATCAAACTTCTCACTGAAGCTCTGTGTGCCTGGCGTGTGTCTCCCTCCACCCCGGTCACCGTCGCCTGCCAGGGAATTAAGGTTCCCCATACAAGGTCCCCTTAAGCTTTATCCTGACACTCACCTGAGTAGGGGGTGAAGGCCAGCAGGAGGAGGAGCAGTGAACAGTGGACCCAGCAGGCTGCCATGGCTTCTCTGAGGCTGGGAAGGGCTGACCAGGACCTGGAACTGATGGAGAACAGGAGACCTTCAGACGGACCGATGGACAGATGGACAGACGGACAGAATTGCCTTTGCCTGTGCTAACTCTAGGGTACAAGAGAACGTGAAGCCAGTCTGTCCTGAGTTGTTTGGAAGTTCCATGTTCTATGGTTACAATTCTCAGACTCAGCCACGGATCAATCCCCTTACAGCAGGAACCCAGCAACTCTGTTCCCTCAGTGTCTAGATGCAGGATACAGGGCCCGCAAGTCCTCTGCCTGAGGACTTCGGATCCCAAGCAGAACCTTCTCCAGGCCTCAGAGTCTCAGCTCTAAGCACCCAGCTCCCCCAGACCTCCGATTCTGAGAGCCCTGGTGTGTCTGTCTGAAGAATGTGGCATCTGGTTTCTGCTCCTCCCACCCGGGGACCCAGAGTTCCTGTCGCCCACTTGGCTTCTCCGGGCCTTAGTGCACAGTACCCAGCACCCTTTATGAAGGAGCAGCAACCCCGGCCTCCTCCTGCTGTCGTGGGTGGCTGTCGACTCCCCGGATGCTTCCCAGACACAAAACCTCAGAACAGAGACTTTGAGAACCCAGACCCGGAGATCAATCCCAGCTTCGTAAGACCAAATCCCCGTTCCTTCAGACGAGGGAATCCAGGGTCCAGTTTCCCTCAGCCCCAAGAACTCAGCCCCTGTTTATCTAACTCAGGCCTATGTATGGAGCCTCCCCCTCCCTCGGACCCAGGATTCCAGGCCCAGCCTGCTGCTTCAGACTCAAGACTGTCTGGCCCTGCTCAGTCCTTCCCCCTGCTCGCCCTCACCGCCCTCTCTCCTCGGGTCTCAGGGGTCTGGTCCCTCACTGCTGCTTCTCTTTTTATCTGTAGAATCCTTGCGGCTCCAGAAATGTCCTCACCAGATCTCGGGCTTGGAAGGCCCCTCCTGATAGATTCCAATCTCGTGTCTGTCTCCTCCCAGATTCCCTGAAAGCGGCAACCTCGGTCAGATAATGCATTCGAGGTTCCACTGGCGAATGAGGACCCTTTGCAAACCCCATTGGATAAGCCCGGAGAATAGCTGCATCTCATTGGTTCCCCGAGATGGCAATTACTCGCCTCTTCGACCCACGCGGGTCCAGTAAATGGGTGTTGGGTAACGGTCAGCGGGGTCAGTGGCAGTTGCTGCCGAGGTCACCTGCCATTTCCAGGGTCACGTGGCATCTCGGATGGCTTTGTGGTGGAAGGCCTTTTCCCTGTCCCTCCAAACGTGTCTCCCATGTCCAGCGAGCAGGTGACAGCACAGATTGTCATCAGGGATATTTACCCTCGTCACCACTGTTAGGATGGCCATTCAGATTACACGTAATTTTCAGTTATTTTATTACATTTCAGTATGTATTGTGTGCGTGTGTTGAGAATCGTATGTCAAGGTGCACATGACAGGGGGCAATTTGGGTAGTCATATTTCTCCTTCCACTGTCCCAGAAATAAAACTCAGGATTTCAGGCTAGTGGACAGGTGACGTTGCCTGCTGAGGTGTCTTCCTGGCCCTCACTTTTCTTTTAAATAGTAACATTAATTATATATGACATAATTAGCTTCAGTGCAATGTTTTCCTGAGATCTCGCAATGCACTTCAGTCGTACATTATCTTTTGAGGCAGAATCCTCCGGCCCAGGATGGCCTTGAACCCTTCTGCAAACGACTTTGAACTCCTGATCCCTCTGACCTCTCTTCCTGGGTGACTGGTCGCTGCCACCATTTATGCGGCACTGGGCTTGGAAGCCGCTAGGCAAGCTCTCTACCCGCCTCGCCCCGCCTCGCCCCGCCCGGCCCCTTCTTCATGTTTATCTCCTCTGCTCCCTTTCCTCCTTCCGTCAGCCCTCCACTCCATGCCCGTCTCCTGTCTCAGTTCCACACAGGGTCTGACACCAGTACCAGAGTGCTAATAGGTATGACTGGCATTATATCGTTTCCAGCTACTTTTTTTTTGTTTTTTGATTTTTGAAGACAGGGTTTCTCTATGGCTTTGGAGGCTGTCCTGGAACTCGCTCTGTAGACCAGGCTGGCCTGAAACTCGCAGAGATCCATTTGCCTCTGCCTCCAGAGTGCTGGGATTAAAGGCGTGCACCACTGCGACCCCCGGAGGGGAACCCCGACCCACGGGGATGGAGTGATGAGGGTTGCTACTAATTTGATGGGTCTTCACGAGCAGATCCGATCTAAAAAGCAAACTTCAAGAGGTTAAGAGAAACAGGCTCAGGACAACTTTTGCTGATCAAGAGCGTTTATTCTTGGGAGTGAATAGCTTTTATAGGTAGAGCAACTCAGGGGGCGGTACAAGCATGTCAATCAAGTCTCAAATATACACCAAATAAGGTAAAGAGGAAGCTGTAATTTTCCATCAGTTGCATTCTGCAAATGCTTATCAGTGTAAGCCAGGTGCAGGAAATCCAAAGGAACACATTAATCTTTTGTTAACAAAGGCAATTGTTCTATAAGGGTTACTTCCGCCTATCATTATGGTAAAAACATCCAAAGGAACACATTAACCTTTTGTTAACAAAGGCAATTGTTCTATAAGGGTTACTTCCCCCTGGCTAGGCAGGTGGGCTGCCCTGTGTAAATTTAACTTTCGTGGTTAGCTATTTCCTTTGTTTCAAGGGCATGTGTGCCTGCAGTCACGTAGGCAGAAGGCCAAGAAATGGCTGACAGACTCCAATTTGTTCAAGGTTCTTAGCAGTCCCCAACATGCCACCAATGCCCGGCCCCAGCTACATTTTTTAACCACTTCATTTATTTTTTCTATTTTATCCCATCCACAGTAATAGTGAACAGGGACTAATCTACTGCATTGTGATATTTCCAACTTAAAAAAATTAATTGTAGTTTTTAAAATTTCAACTTACATTCCAACCACAGTTCTTCCCTCACCCCTCCTTTCTTTGCCCAGACATATTCTCATGCCTCCACCTCCCTAGTGCTGGGACTAAAGGCATGAGCTCTGTTGTTCTTCACTCTTGGGTAGGTCAGGGTGGCCTTGAACTCAGAGAGATCCATCTGCCTGTTTCCTGAGTTCTGGGATTAAAGGTGTGTGTCACCACTACCTGACCTCTATAATTTATGGCTGGCTTTGCTTTCTGAATCCTCAGGCAAGCTTTATTAAATTACAAACAATATATCACCACAATTCCCCCTTTTTGTCTAATATAAAAAGAAAAGGCTATAACATAAGAAAAAGTATAAATAACAAATGTAGTGAGTATTTACAATATCAACCTTTTACACTTTATACTTTTTTTTTTTTTGCTTTTCGAGACAGGGTTTCTCTGTACTGTTTTGGAGGATGTCCTAGAACTCACTCTGTAGACCAGGCTGGCCCGAACTCACAGAGATCCGCCTGCCTCTGCCTCCTGAGAACTGGGATTAAAGGTGTGCACCACCAATGCCCGGCTTACACTTTATACCTCTTTAGTGAGTTTCTTTTCTGAGTCTGGTAGACAATGAAAACTGTAACTATGGTATTTAGGCTTCAACTCCTCAGAGACCCAAGAAGGAAATAATTATTATCTGAGTAAGCAGGAAGTGAGAGCAAGCAACTTTCAAAAAATGTGAGAGGCGACAGAAACAGCTGGCTGCCTGGACAGTCACCCAAGGTTGCTCTGCAATGTTGGGGCATCTGCCTTCAGCCTATAGACCTAGCACATCTGACAAACATTTCTGTGAAGCAGGATATTCTGAAGGACTGTCCTGCCTTGTCTTGGCAAGATTTGCAGCCATTCTTTTTGGTGTCCTGTTTGTACAAGTTAGGCAGCACACTGTCAGCAGTGAAGGCAAGGGCACTTTCTTGCCCAGTGGCTTACTTTTGCCACAAAGAAAGAAAACTCCGTGTGGAGTTTGATGCCCACCATCTTCTCTTAAGTATATTGGTGCTGCCTCATTATTTAAAAAAGAGAACCTATGGTATTAAAGCATATTGAATGCCATATTCTGTAGATCTCTGAGGAGTTTGATGATGACATGTCTTTCTAAAATATATGTTTGACCTTGAAAACATAATATGCCTACAAGTTCTATTGTAATAGTTGACTAATCACTAACCTACATTTTCTTATTATCTTACTTAGTTGGTAATAATAACTTTCAAGAAGTAGAAATTTGCATTACATTGTTTGTTGGGGCCTCTAGGGGCCCCTGGGTCAAGGTCGGAGAGGGTAGAGTCCTCTGCATCCCATAGCCTTCCAGAAACCTGGAGACAAACAGATACATCAGGGAGTCAAGTCAAGCAAGATCTCCTTTATTGTTTAAAAGTAAAGCCCTCTTAAAGTAAAACACTGCAGGACAGGGTAAGTATTACCCAGTAATTTTAGAGGTATTGCTATTATATATGTAGTGTCCTATCCCCTCTTGGGCATGGTCTGCTAGTGTGATGACCGCATCCAGTGTGAGTTGGTGCAGTCAATTGTTTTTCCTAGGAAACGCTCTGTAACTTCCTCCCAGCGCCATCTTGTAATGGCATCGGTCGTCAGCTTGGGCCACTCCCTCTTCTGGAGGGACATGATGTGTGCTCCTCTACAATTGTTAAATGGGCAGTATAGATACAATTACCTTGAAGAATATTAGGAATATATGTACAGTATGTTTTAACAAAATTAATCTCAAATTTGTGTCAATATATACAATTTCTATACAATGTACAAGTCCAATCCAATGTAAAATATTTAAAACTAGTAGTTGCTTCTTTGAAGTAGATTCAATAATCTTCCTTTTTAAATCTTATCATATTTATATCCTCCCTTTTTTCAGAGTTGATTCAATAATCTACCCTTTTTGTCCTGTCATATATGTGTCCCCCCTTGAATCTGATCCCCTTTGTTCAGCTTTCTTCCTGATTGTAACCGACAACATTCTTTTTAACTAGTCTCCATCAACAATGACAAACATCCATAGCCCAATGAGAGACCAAAAACCACCTGTCCACCTCTTGGGAGTGTGGGCGTCGTGTTCTTAAGGTTACTTCCTGCTGTCTGGGGATGTCGGCATCTTCAGGGGATCCTGAAAAATTTGGGTTAACTGTCAAGCCATATCATTTTTTCCAGCCTCTGCATAATGGGAAAGTGCAGGGCTTGTCTCAAGTCCTGGCTAGAGTCGTCTGTGAGACTGGATGATCTCAGCCACCTCAAAGTTGTTCTGAGCAGCGTCTATGATCCAAAGCTGATATTTACTTGGTGTTGTTCAGCTTAATGGTGTTATCATAGTTCTGGTGAAATTGTTGTTGGGTCCCATCCTCCTTTTGGAGACTTCAAAGGTCACTGTTAGGTGTAGTCATGGTTCACTGGAGAAAACTTGCAGAGATTCAAACCCAAAGTCTTGTACAGGAAGGTAGATGAAATCTTTTTCTAGAATTAGTTAGTACTCCATTAATATCATGACAAAAACTTTAAAATACATATATATTAACCTTACAAATTTTATATAAATGCAATATTTATGCTTTAAGAAAAGCTCTTAAAAGTCAATATAAAACCAAAGGATTAAGAGATTAGTGGCAATACAATAGTCCTTCAATATTTTTTTTTCTGTTCCATATCAGGTGGTTCTTCTGACATGAGACAGAGTTTTTTTGATTTTTCTTTAACAAGCATGCTTGGGTTTAGAGAAGAGAGGGCTACAACCCAACTCCAAAGCCAACTTTAATCTTTATTTGGATTGGTACTACAAAAATACCATTTGCACTATATATATGTAGGAAAACAGAAACAAACATTTGGGAAGTTTTATGAAATTTTATCCTGTTGGAAATATGATATATCAATAGGCCAATTTACTCCTTTTCTTAGGACAGTTTTTCTGGATACTTTGTATTCTTTCTTCAGATGTCTCAGTTGTCCAGTGGTCTTCAGCTTCCTTAACTGGATACCTTTATTCTCCTGAAATGACAAAAATAAAACCCTTCCCCAACTCTAAATTTTTTAGGGAGGTTTTCCTTTGGCAAGTTATATCTGATCAAATGAAAAGCATTTGTTAGTTTTATAGGTTACTTTAGATTAAACGGCCATCCTGCTTGATGAGCTGTCATCTCTTCTAATTAAGAGGTGTCTTGTTCAAATCAAATCTATCAATTTTGATGATATCCATAGCCTTTCCTTCACCCATGGAAACAAAAGCAAAAACTATTCCTCAATGTAAGTTATGTCCTGGTTTCCACTCAGAGGTCAACACATCTTTGAAGTGTACCGGCTGACTTAATTAGTAGTTTTTTTTTCTATTATCCAGTCTCCCTGAAACTGTTATTCCTTTCTCATTTGCATTCAGAAAATTCAAAATCAGTAAAGCACTATGCAATCTATTTCTGGGCTTCT